ATGTAGCTTCTGGATTTGACTAAACAGTTCAAGAAATGAAAAATAACAATATGTAATTTTTTTAAAGTTTTGGGTGTAGTTATGAATTTTTACATATATACATGTATTTTCCCTTCATTGAATTCAAGAGTCAGGTGCTATTGCAATTATTACCTGCATTTCACAGCTAGGGACACAAGAAAAACATTTAAAAAATAATTTCCCCAAGACTCTATAGTAAGTAAGCAAGTAAGATAATTTAAATTTGAACTTAAGCAATTGGATGGCCACATTTCTCATCACTAAGAACTGCTGGGTATTAAAAAGAAATGACAGCAATGATCTCCTTTGATTTATAGAGAAGGATAAAATACTATCATTTTAATTGATGAATAAATGTTTCCATAAAATGATAATTAATATACATAGAATACTCTGATTTACACATTTTCCATTTATTCCTAAAGACAACCCTTATCTTTTAATCTGCCTGGAAGATGTTTGCAGGCCCTAATACCTTGAAATCAATGTTTCACATGAAAATCTTGGTGAAATTTTAGTTTTATTCTAGGGGAGTGCACGTATAGAGATACATGAATATAAACTGCTCAAATTATGGGACCTGGCAAGATTCGTGCATATGGATCGAGTGCTATGCAAAAAATCCCAGGTCCGGACATGCAAATGAGTCCGCTTACTTTCCTTTTCATTTGTGAAATGAAAGTGTTTATTAGGCCTCCCCTGGTGGCACAGGTGGTTGAGTGCTGCCCTGTGAAGCTGTCGGCAGCCTCGGCAGCACGGGTTTGATCCCGGTGAGCAGAGGAGGGTCCCACATGGCGCGACAGACCTCTCCTGTTACTCCCGCTGCTCCCCTCAGCAGTGTATTTCATCAGTCTGCCTGTTCTGTTCCCTGCTCTGTCTCTGGTGAATCCTCTCACCCTCCCGTGCCTCTGGCCTGTACCCCAGTTCTTGTATAAATAAATAAATCTTTTTTTTAAAAAAAAAAGAAAGTGTTTATTATTATAAAATAATCTACTTTGTACTCACTGAGTATTTCAGCTGGGAGAAAAACATTAAAACAACGTTTTTAGCAGACAGTTCCAATTTTAAGGCCATTGCAGTTAATCATACAGGGCTGCCACCGTATAAGGCCAAATGTGGCATTTACTCTATGAAGATAATTCATCTAATGCATGTTTCCTTGGGGCATTATTTCATTTCCCTGGAAGTTCCTGTAAGATTCAGAATACAGAATATTATTCACTGTACACAAAAATATAATGGGTCCTTATAATATAGTAAAATATAAATGATATTCTGGTAACCTGGAGAATAGGAAACTCCAGGCGGAAACCAACTTTGTTTCTGAAGCCTACACAGACTAGATGTCAAGAGTTCACTCTGGGGCCTCCCCGGTGGCGCAGCGGTTGAGCGCTGGGTTGCGAAGCTGCCCGCAGCCTCTGCAGCACCGGTTCGATCCCCGGCTGCTCCCCGGCCACCAGAGGAGGGTCCCACATGGCGCGCAGACCTCTCCTGCCGCCCGCTGCTCCCCTCAGCAGTGTACTTCGGTCCTTCTGCCTGCTCTGCTCCCCGCTCTGGCTCTGGTGAATTCTCTCACCCTCCCGCGCTTCTGACTGTACCCAGTGCTTGTATAAATAAATAAAAATAAATCTTTAAAAAAAAAAAAAAAAAAAAAAGAGTTCACTCTGATCTTATATGGAGTTTTCCAGCAAAGTTAGCTAGAATTGCTGTTTGGTTACTCTGCCCTGTGATTTTTATGCAAAAATAAGTAAATTGGTCTGAGAGTAGATTTAGTTTGCAAATATTTTGCTGTACTACTGTATAAAATTGGGTCAAGGTGGAGAAAACTTGCTTTTAAAAAAGTTAAACCGGACCTCCCTGGTGGCGCAGGGTGTAAAGGCCAGCCACTGAAGCATGAGTTCGATCCCCAGCTGGCCAGGGAGCTACCCACATGGCACAGTAGACCTCTTCTGCCTTGCCTGCTGCTACCCTCAGCAGTGTATTTCAGTAGATCTTCCTGTTCTGCTCCCCACTCTCTCTGGTGAATCCTCTCACCCCCACCCCCATGGACTGACTAATTTCCAGGAATGAAGGACTATCATACTAGACACGCACGGACAATACTGGCGGCTGATTGTTATTCTCTAGCATACACTAAAATCCTGAGATCGGGGTTTAAAATACAAAAAATAAGGGGAGTCTAGAGGAAATCTTGTGCCTATCGGTACTTATATACAACGTTTTATTTACTTTTAAATTCTTGAATTGCAACTGCTTTGGTCTAACAACTGTTGAGCAACATCTCATTCCTACTTCCTCAGGGCAGCGGAGCAGCTTTTTATGACAGCAACACCAAGCCCTGGGCCCTTGGTCACAGATAACTGCCCATCACAAGGGACAACTTGGCTGGGACCTTAAAACATTGAACATGGGGGCCCCCTGGAGGCGCAAGGGCTTAAGGGACAACCTATGAAGCTGTCTGCAGCCACTGTAGCAGGAGTCGGATCCCCGGGTCGGCCAGGGAGCTTCCTACATGATGCAGCAGACCTCTCCCGACTCGCCCACTGTTCCCCTCAGTGGTGTACTCCGGTCAATCTGCCTGTTCTGCTCCCCACTCTGTCTCTGGTGAATCCTCTCACCCACCCCCCACACCTCTGGCCTGTACCCCAGCTCTTGTATGCATAAATAAATAAATCTTTTAAAAAAACATTGCACATGGGGGAGAAGGTATGTTTCTGTTTCATTACCTATAGGACCACTTTGGATTCCAGCAGAAAAAGACCCATCTTATTCCAGAGCTCCAGCCATTAGCCATCTAGCTGCCACCCAGGATGCCACCTATGCAGGCCGACAGCAGAAACAAGGACCCTTCCCACCGACTGTGCCGTCCTCCAGAACCTCGGATCAAGACTCGATGCCCTTTAGGCTGCTGTATGCTGACATGATGGACATCACCAAGCCCCCTAGACACCACCAACTCCGTTGTGTTTTGTTGTGACACTGTTCTACGAAACTCCTATTCTGATGTCACGGACCTTAGAGACAAACTATAACAACAACAGACAGTAAAATTGTCAAGAGATCAGCTAAAAACTGTACAGACCCAACTGTCTTAGCCCTGTGACTGGACCTGTACATCCATCTGTGTAACTCCATTTGTATATAATCAGACTCAGGCTACATGCAAACATATTAAGCTACAATTTCAAGGAAATGTAAATATGTCTGAGCAAATGCAACACTTGCAACAAAATACACAGGCGGCATTTGTTAAATGCTTATCAGCAGTAGGAGGGAAAGATGTTGTAAATTTAATGATGGGAGTTAGCCAATTTAAATAAACTGAATTATGTAAAAGCTTTGGAAATTATCTTCATGTTAGTTGCACTAATCCCTATTTTTGCATATCTGTTACTTTAAATCCTCTTCTACAAAAGTAAAGGAAGAAACATGTGGGAGTGAAAACAACTGAAAGTTGCTGCCATAGTCATTGTCAAGGTTGCACTAAAAAACAAAACAAAAAAAAGGGGACCTCCCTGCTGGTGCAAGGGGTTGAGACGCAACCTATGAAGCTGTCCACAGCCAGTGCGGCACGAGTTTGATCCCCAGGCAGGGGGCTACCCACATGGCGCAGCAGACCTCTCCTGTCTCCCCGCTGCTCCCGTCAGCAGTGTATTTCCATTAGTTCACCTGTTCTGTTCTCCACTCTGGTGAATTCTCTCATCCCCCCACACCTCTGGCCTGTACCCCAGTTCTTGTATGCATAAATAAATAAATTTTTTTTTAAAAAAAGGGGGGAGACGTGGAGACCCCTATGGCATAAAGTGCTGAGACAAGGAAACTATCAGGGTCATGGCTGAAAGACTAGGCATGGCTAAAAGATGGATCAGCCTGGGTCAGAAGATTGGCCCTTGTAAAGATCAGGATGTTGTGTCAGCGAAACCAGGCCTGTGAGAGAAACTAGATTAGAAGAGAGAACAGAATAATCTGATAATGCAGAACCTTGGCGGTGCATGTGTGCCAGAATACTGCTGAATACTAAGGAACAAAAGAATAATCCACTGTCTTGTAACTAACCTAGGAGGTGGTCTGTCTCCATAAATCTGAGTTGCTCTGGGTGCTCTGGACGACTGAGCCAGAATGAGACCTTGTGTCCCCTGTGTCCTGCTTCTCTTAAACTCTATTTTGTGCCAGTCATTTCTTTATTCCTTGGTTCTTTCAGATTCCTCTCTCAACCCTGCTCTCCGGAGCTGGACCGTTCATGGCAATGGTCACTTAGGATTTTCCTATTTGGGAGTGAGAGAAAAACAAATGTCCCAGGTCACTCCTAAGAGGCAGTTTGCCATTGCTGTGGATAACCTCTGCCAGCAGCAACAGGACTTAAAGGATTCTCAAATCTTCACATCAGAACGACTGGAAGACAAGCAGAGAAAGCTGAGGTTGCTCGTCAAAGCTCTGGATTCTGTTGGACACCAGGCCCCTTTCTGAGACCAGGGAACACCTTAGCTGCAGACCATGTGGAAAAGAGCCAGCTGATGAAGATCCCGCCTTTTGCAATTCAGGGACCCTGATGACAAATGTGAGGTTTGGAATTTAGCTCACAAGAAGCTGCATTTTCTCCTTCCATTGTTCTCTAATATCCACCAAGTCTTACTAGGAGACTAAAATTCCCTCACAGGCCCGAGAAGTCAGTTTTCTTTTGAAAATGAACATTAAGCATCCTACAAAGCCTTCTAGAAGGACCAAAATAATTTAACATGTTTTATACTTTGGGGAGGGGTGCAGAAGTGGGGTGTAGGCCAGAAGTTTTGAGGATGGGGAGGTTAGATGATTCACCAGACACAGAGTGGGCAGGAGACCAGGCAGGGCCAGTGGTATCCACTCCCCGTGGCGGGGGTGAAGGAGAGGTCTGTTGTGCCCTGGGGGTCAGCTCCTTGGCCCCCGCCCACCCAGGGATGGAACTCAGGCCCCCTGGGTGAGAGAGTTGAGACTCCACCCCTAGGCCACCAGGGAGGCCCCCTCTGAATCTTGTCCTAGATCAGCCATCAGCCAGTTCCAGGATCGGAATGGAAAAGTTTTCAATTAGCAATAATCGCGCCTCGGATAAACCTCATTGGCTACGATACTGCCACTGCGCAAAGCTAGGATCGGAATGGAAATGGTGGGAACATCATCAAGCTACAACCAGCCATGGGGGCCTGAGTTCGATGCCCAGCCGGGGAGCTGACCCACAGGGTGTAGCAGGCCTCTCCTGTCTCACCCAGGCCTCCCCTCCGCAGTGGATCCACCCTTTGTGCTCCCCACCCTGTCTGTGGTGAATCCTCTCATCTGGGCTCCTCTGGCCTGCACCCCACTTCTTTGCATCAATAAATTTCAAAATTCATTAAAAACAAAGACACCATCCACCCAGTGCAGGTGCCTCGCTATTGCAGTGACACCGGGCCCCATCAGGTAAGCACCCCTATCTGTTGCATTTAACAAGTTTCTCTTCTTGCATGGAAGGAAGAGGAAGGACATTCCTAAGAAGTTAACAGGAAGTTACCCAACAGGTTTCAACAAAACAAGGCAGTGCCCGTCCAAATCTGCAGCTGCCCCCAGCAGAAGGGCGTTTGCGTTTGCTAGCCTTCCAGTCTCCCCCCCTGCAGACCCGCGCCTATAGGCACTTTTTTTACACCTTTGTAGACACACCCCTGCCCTCTGCCAAAGAGCAGGAGGGTGGTCTTCAAGGCGTCTGCTGCCCTCCTCTGCAGAGCTCTTGTTGCCCGGGACCCCGAGCCACAGAGGCAGCGGGAGAGCAGGAGCCCGAAGCACCCTCGTCCCCACCCCGCCCCCAAACAGGGCAGCCCACGGAGGGCGGAGGGCGGAGGGCGGGCCTCACGCCCACGCCAGCGCTGGGGATGGGGCGGGGGGCGCCTTCTTGTGGCGCGGGGGCAGGGGACTGAGGGGCCCCTCTGTGCCCCGGAGGGGAGAGTCGGGGTGTCAAGAGTCATGTCAACGAATTCAAGATTGTTTTAAAGAGCATGAAGGAAATAACTCTCCAGTCAAACCACCTCTATGAGTTTTGACTCAGTACCTGGTAATGACATCTCCAGTAGCCACACACAACCTCTAGCCCAGACTACACAGAGAACTACATAAATGACATTTCCATGAAAACCATGCATCGCACCTAAGCTCTTCAAGGAAAGAATTGATCTCTATAATATGTCTCTGGAGCACATACACAAAAATAACATCCTCCATTTTTCTCTCTCACCCTGGTCAAACACTTTCTGTGGCTTTACCTCTCTATTTAATATATGTAATTCATTGTATTTTCCTTTCTCATAGAATGTAACTTCAAGAAAGCAAAGGCCATTTCTGTGATTATTGTTGTTATTCCTTCTCGCAGAACATTCAGCATTGGCTAAAACTTCCCATGACCATACTGAAAGAATGAAAAAAATGCCTGAATCAGTACCTCAAGAAAATAGTCTGTGGGGCCTCCTTCATGCTGCAGCAGGTTGAGCACAGAGCTGTGAAGCTGTCTGCAGCCTCTGCAATGTGGGTTCCATTCCCAGCCAGCCAAAGAGATATCTACATGGCATGGCAGACCTCTCCTATCGCACCCATTGCTCCCCTCAGCAATGTATCTCAGTCTGTCTGCCTGTTCTGCTCCCTGCTCTGTCTCTGGTGAATCCTCTCACCCTCCCTGTAACCCAGTTCTTGTACAAAAATAAATAAATCTTTAAAAAAATTTTTTACAAAGTCTGTAGAATAAATTAATAGACAGAACACAGAAAACGTTCCTAATGTAGAATAATTTCCCGCAGTATCAGGGACTGCATACTGGTTTAAGATATTGACAACCATTAAGAGCATCAGAAAATCTAGGAGAGAGCAGTATTTGGGAGCTGAATAATGAATAACACTGATATATGCAGACAAACTGTCCAAGGTTGGACATTGGGAAAGTAGGTCAGTGTGGCCAATATCATTGGCCATCCTCCAAGCTGCCTCGCCAGGTAAGCACTGACTGACCTGAGAGTCCTAGTTTGGGGGATCTTCCACAGTCCATGGCTATACTCCCTGCTCTAATTTGAGCTCACCTCAGGATCGTTTACACAATGCCCTGTGATGAGAAAACATTTTGGTCTTGAATCAAGTTAAACTTCAGACTTTGAAAACTAACAAAAGCAGTGTTAAGAGCTGTGCAAAAAAGGCCAATCTGGGGCCTCCCCTTCTGGTGCAGGCAGTTGAGCACAGCACTGTGAAGCTGTCTGCAGCCTCTGCAGCGCCGGTTCGATCCCAGCCAGCTGGCGAGGGTCCCACATGGCATGGCTGATCTCTCCTGTTGCGCACACTGCTCCCCTCAGTAGTGTGTTTCGTCAGTCTGCCTGTTCTGTTCCCCACTCTATCTCTGGTGAATCCTCTCACCCCCTGCATGTCTGGCCTGTACCCTAGATCTTGTATGCATAAATAAATAAATCTTAAAAAAAAAAAAAAAACCCAACACATTGGGACGCCACCTCACCCCTTGAGAATGGCCCAAACAAAAAAGAGTGAAAGTAACAATGGTGGAGAGGGTGCAGAGAAAAAGGAGCTCCGGCCCCCGGCTGGTCGCCAAGAGAGCGGTACAGTGCCTGCAGATAAATGGTGCAGAGATTTCTTAAGGAAATAAAAATGGAAATTCCATATAATCAGCAATACTTCTATAAGTTATTTATCCAAATGTGAAAATTCATTACAAAAAGGTTCATCTATACCTATGAGCTGGTAAACTCGTGCAGCAGAGACTGTGGGGATCAAACTTGTGCTGTAGATGCTGTGGACAGCCTCACAGCCTCATAGGTTGCGTCTTAACCCCTTGTGCCACTATCACTGATGAATATGGATACAAAAACCCTCAATAAAATCCTAGCAAACTGAGTACAACAACATACCAAACAGTGATCTCTCACAATCAAGTTGGCTCATCCCAGGGAGGAAAGGCTAGTTCAATACACACAAATCAGTCACTGTCATCCACCAGGGGAGTAAAAAGACAAAAACCACATGATCATCTCAACATATGTTCAAAGGGCACTGATAAAAATTCTTCACAAAAAAGGGAATAAATGGGGCCTCCCCGGTGGCGCAGCGGTTGAGCGCTGGGTTGGGAAGCTGCCCGCGGCTTCTGCAGCGCCGGTTCGATCCCCGGCTGCTCCCCGGCCACCGGAGGAGGGTCCCACATGGCGCGCAGACCTCTCCTGCCGCCCGCTGTTCCCCTCAGCAGTGTACTTCGGTCCTTCTGCCTGCTCTGCTCCCCACTCTGGCTCTGGTGAATTCTCTCACCCTCCCGTGCTTCTGACTGTACCCAGTGCATGTGTAAACAGAACAAACAGACAAATAAATAAATAAATAAACATGCCTCTATTAAAAAAAAAAAAGGGAATAAATGGAACTTATCTACATATTATTAAAAAATACATATTGGAAAAGAAAAAGTGAAACTGCCACTATTCACAGATTACATGTTAATATACTTAGAGAAACCAAAAGACTACTAAAAAACTTCTAGAATTAAGTGAATACGCTACAGTGGCAGATACGAAATTCAATACATAAAAATCAGTGGCATTTCTATATTCAAACAATGTATCGAAGAAATGGAAATAAGGAATACAGTTCCACTGATAATCACACCAAAAAGAATGAAATGCCGAGGAATAAACTTAATGGAGGAGGTGATGGACCTGAACATTGAAAACTATCAAGCTCTATTGAAGGAAATAACAGACAAAAAGGGATAGAAAGATGTCCTGTGCTTGTTGGCTGACAGAGTTAGCATCATGAAAGTGGACATATTGCCACAACAGTTTACAGATTTAACACAATACTTGTTCAAATGCCAATAACCTTTTTTTTTTTTTAAGATTTATTTTATTTATTTATACAAGAACCGGGGTACAGGCCAGAGGCACGGGAGGGTGAGAGGATTCACCAGAGACAGAGCGGGGAGCAGAGCAGGCAGACTGATGAAACACACTGCTGAGGGGAGCAGCAGGCAAGGCAGGAGAGGTCTGCCGCGCCATGTGGGACCCTCGCCAGCCAGCCGGGATCGAACCGGCGCTGCAAAGGCTGTGGACAGCTTTACAGCACGGCGCTCAACCACCTGCACCACCAGGAGAGGCCCCAATCACCTTTTTTTTACTGGAAAGAGAACAATTATCAAATTTATATGGAATCACAGAAGGAGACAAATCACCAAACAAGCTTGAGAAAAGACAACAATGGATGTATCACACTTCCTGATTTTAAATTATATTAAAGAGCACAGTATTAAAAACAGCAGTGCTACGACAGAACCAAAACACAGCAGAATGGAAGAGAACTGAAAGCACAAGATAAATCCATGTAACTACGAACGGTTAATCTTTGACAAAGGAGCTACGGCCATGCAGTGGGGAAAAGACAGCCTCGGTAACAAATGGTGCTGGGCAACATGGAGACCCTCTTGCAGAAAAATGAGGCAACACCCACACCAAACTCCACACACAGCATTAATTCAAATGGACGAAAGATTTGGAAATGAGACCAAAACCAAAAAGTACATCAAGGAGACATAGGGGACAGATAGAGGACACCAAAATGTACTAGGGAACACGACCCCAACATCAAGAGAAACAAATGCAAAATTAAATTAAGTGAGACAACATCAAACTTAAAAGCTTTGTACCACAAAAGAAATCAGCACAAAAACAGAAAGGCAACCTACAAAATGCGAACAAATATTCCCACACACCACACCTGATAAAGGAGTAACCACAAGATGTATAATTTTAACGCAATCTCATAACAAACCAATGACATATATAAAAATCAGGCAAAAAAACTAAAGGGGCAATTCAGATGGCCTACAGATGTATGAAAAATTATTCAACATCCCTTATTATAAGGGCAGTGCATATTAAAATCAAACTGACGTACACCTCACCCCAGTGATTATGGTCCAAACGAAAAAGACAATGGAATTAACAATGCTGGAGGGTTGCAGTGAAAAAAAGCTCTCACTCCCTGCTGGTGGCAGTGCAAGTTGATACAGGCCCTGTGGAAATGGCATAGAGATTTCTTAAAAAAATAAAAATGGAAATTCCATGTGATCCAGCAATACCTGTAATTCAGTTATTTATCCAAATAGTAGAAAAATGCAATTATGAAAAGATTTATCTATGCCGACCTACAGAGCAGCACTGTTCCCAACTGCCCAGTCACAGAAGCAACAGAAGGCCTTTCAACAGGTGAATGGAGAGAGAAATGTGGAGCACATACTCAACAGCATTATTACATGCCTGTGAGGAAAGACCAAAGGTCGGCATTTAGGACAAAATGGGTGGAATGGGAGATGATTATATTGAGTGAAATAAGTAAAAAAATGAAGACAGGGCCTCCCCAGTGGCACAGCGGGTTGAGCGCTGCGCTATACAGCTGTCTGCAGTCTCTGCAGCGCAGGTCCAATTCCAGGCTCACCAGGGAGATACCCACATGAGGCGGCAGAACTCTTCTGTCTTGCCCACTGCTCTCTTCAGAGTGTTTTCGGTCTGTCTGCCTGTTCTGCTCCCTGCTCTGTCTCTGGTGAATCCTCTCACCCTCCCGCGCCTCTGGCCTGTACCCCAGTTCTTGCATAAATAAATAAATCTTTAAAAAACCAAAAAAATGACGATTAATATCAGAAGCTTTCATATACTTATAGTGTATTAATACACCAAAAATATTTATACACAAATAACAGCAGGAATAAAACTGCAAGGCAAAAGGAAGATAATGGTGACCAACGGACCAGGAAATGGGCCAGCATGCTTCCTAGAGGGCCAAATCCATCAGGAAAGCAGAAGAAAAGCGACACGCTATTTCAGTAGAGGGCTATTGGTGTGACAATGTCAAAGGCACACTGAGCCAAAAATAAGTAAAGAACGTAAACTAACAAACTATTAAGTACATAAAAGTTTTAAACAATTGAAAAAAAATTTCCACAAGGTCATAGATAGCATTATCAATGTGGCAGGAAATCTGAAGAAGGCAAAGGTTACAGACATGTAACTGGGCTGGAGTACAAGTCCAACTGGAGACTGTATCAAGGAGAAATGCAAAGGAGCAGTGAAAACAACTGTCAGAAAATATGACTTTGAACAGTCCACTGGGCAACTTCTGTGGGTGCAAAGACCACCTGAGAAAGAGCATGGGGAGTTATTTAAGGCCCCCCTCCCAATTGAATTCAACTGTCACACAATCCAAGACTGATCCCGGCATGAAAGGGCGTCCAACAGTTGTCAGGGACACACTGTGTTTTTTCAGTGTCTGTTTAAAGTGAGCACCCACACCTGCATTCAGGTCTGCACCCACCTTTCCTCTCACTGGGCCTTCACCCAACATCTAATCGGTAACGATGACACGTGCAGGACAAGGTATGTGTGTATTTCCAGCCGGGTGAAGAGCCACGGTCCACATCATCACCTACCGGGTCAATGGAGTCACAGTGTCAGACTCTGCTCTCCAAGTGCTCAGGCCCCACAACAAGCAGCACAGTGTCCCCCCGGGGTCTGTTCTCATCAGGGAACACACGTCTCACTTATGACATGGCATCATGTAAGAGCCCAATTTCCATGCATGTGGGGAATATGATTTGCATGGATCTGCATGACATCTTTGTCTTGTTGATGTATGTTTCCTTGGAGAAAACTTTATTCTTTTCTACTTTTGCATTTCAGTTTATGAACTTTCATAAAGTGCATAAAGTCAGTGTATGTACCACGAGCTAAAGAAAAACAATCCACTCTCCGGAGATTTATTCATTGTCTGCTGCTCTCACAAATGCGAAAGGACTCTGGAGGTGGCGCTAGGAGAGGTGAATGGAGTCCAGCAGGAGAGGACTGAGGCAGCTGGCACCTGGGTCCTGGAGTCCCCTGTCCAGAGCACTGCAACACTGCCTGAGAGAGACCAGAGTCACTTCATGTAACAGCTGTGTTACACTTTGAGAAGGGGCAGGAAAAGACCCACAAGGGTATTACTGGTAGAGTTTCGGTTTACAATTTACCATTAGCTAATAAAAACTGCAACTTTCTACTTATTGAATAAGCTCATGCTTAGAACTAAAAAAAAAAAAAAAAAAAAAAAAAACCCTTCAAGTATGATTAATCACTCAAAAAAATTCTGGACATTGGGCCTCCCCGGTGGCGCAGCGGTTGAGCGCTGGGTTGCGAAGCTGCCCGCGGCCTCTGCGGCGCCGGTTCGATCCCCGGCTGCTCCCCGGCCACCGGAGGAGGGTCCCACATGGCACAGCAGACTTCTCCTGTCGCGCCCGCTGCTCCCCTCAGCAGTGTGCTTCGGTCCTTCTGCCTGCTCTGCTCCCCGCTCTGACTCTGGTGAATTCTCTCACCCTCCCGTGCTTCTGACTGTACCCAGTGCATGTGTAAACAAAACAAACAAACAAACCAGCAAACAAATAAATAAAGCATGCCTCTATAAAAAAAAAAAAAATTCTGGACACAATTTCAAAGGAAATGATGCATTTAATGTACTTTTTGGTAGGATATTCCAAAAAATGGTTCCAAGAGCCCTGCTTCCCTGGATTCATTTCCTTGTATACCCCCCATTCCCCCCCCCGCCAATAACGTGGTATGTTTGGCCAAAGGGAACCAGCGTGTATGCGTGTAGAACGAAAACCTCTTTCCAGGGGTCCTTGCCTTCTGGGCCACTGTCATCCTGGGAAGACACCCGGGGTCAGCCTGTCAGGGGCACATGGCCAAGTGAGAGCCACCATAACTCCAACCAACAGGAAGGGAAATTCTTACCCCAACCCGCCTCAGTCAGGGCACCAGGGAACTGCAGCCGCCTGCGTCATCCTGGCAACGCCAGCATCAGTGGCGGGAAAAGCCCAAACCGCAGAACCGTCCAACCCCCTGAAATAAAATGGTCGGGGTGTTCTGCGAAAGGCAGGGAATCTGGGTGGATCTTGACAGAGAAAACGCTCAGGGATCCATTTAAATCCCGCACAACGTGTTCCTAACAATTCACGCGGGCGAGGAATTCTTAAATGCCATGACAGCCACCAGCAGAACCCCACATTCCCACTGAGAACTCTTGAAAACACTAAAGGCCGTCAGCTGGAGGGGCTCACCCCGCGTTCCCCTCAGGGCCCCCCAATACCCGCCCTCACTCCCGAGTCAGTCACTGGCCCGCCCCTTCCCTGTGCCCCTTCCCAGGCCCGCGGCTCCTGCCCCGACACCTGCCCTCGGGTCCTCACCGGGGCTCCTCTCCACACTGTCCGCAAACCCCACGCACCCCCTTCTCCCCACCCCTCCCAGCTCCTCCGCATCACCCCAGACCCAACCTTCAGGGTCAAAATCCACTCACTCGCGGGTAACAGCAGCGAGCGCGCAGGCGCCAGACTTCCGGGAAGAGGGCGCTGGACTTCCGGGAAGAGGGCGCCGGACTTCCGGGAAGAGGGCGAATGGGCCGGGCAACGCCTACGCAGACGAGCCCGGAAGCCCCTGCCAGAGCCCTCGGCGGCTCGGCGTGTGCTCGGGAGACGTTTTCCACAATCCTGTGCGCTGCCCGTCGGGTGGCATCTGATCTGGGTCTTTCCGGGGGGTGGGGCTCAAGAAAAGGGAGGGGGGCCGGTGGGCGGAGACCCTGGGCCTGGTGGGGGCGCAGGGAGTGCCTCAGGTCGTGGAGGAAAAGGAGCATCTTGTTTCCCTCCCGGAGAAGTGGGGTCCTCTCACTCCGCCCTCCCCTGCGGCTGGGGAGCTGCACCCCGCGGTGTTGAGGGCGGGCTCACTGGACGGCATCTTGTTAAACTCCAGGGAAAAGCATTTCTCGTGTTTCCACTGTGCCTTTCTGGGCCCCGGTGAAGACCAGGCTTGGTGTTTCCCTGCAGGGGACTCGGGTCCCGTAGAAGCCAATCTATCCGTGCACCCCTGTGCTTCCCTGAGCCAGCTGCGGCCACCTGGGCTGAGCCAGTGTCCCCTGAACCTATTTCTCAAAAGGTCTGAGTCTGAGCTACTCCACGTCTCCCGATTTTCTTGCTAAATGGACGTCTAAGGACATTCCATCCTGCCAGGCCCATTATGAGTTATCGCATGACCAAAAAATAAGGAAGTGATGCCCAACCGAGGACCACCGTCTGCCTATGACATGCACAGGGCACTCACACACACATTCCACTCCCAAATGCCCCTAACACACCCACATACTGCCCCACCTATTTTGTCATTCCTAAATGTTGTCTCCTAAAAGACTGACGTGTTGGATTCAGTATGTATCACAACCATCACACTGTGCTTGTTTTATAGGCCAAGAAAAGGGCATGTTCAAGGAAATAGGGTAACAATTTATAGATATTGATTCAGAATTTCCTGGGCATTGCTTCTAATTGAACCTGTCACTAGTTAAAGCAGAAATTGTTACAGAAAGCCTTTGGGGATCACATGGCGAGTCATGGTTCAACAGAAGAGCCAACAGAAATGGATCCTGGAAAATGGACAGTCATATCTTGTGAGCTGCATGGCTGTGTCAGAGAACGTGAAAAGAGTGTTGCAGAAAATGGGGCATATGTATATATTAGGGGCCCTAACTGGACTGCTTCAAAGTTACTGAACTGAGATGATACTCAAGGTAAACTTAAAACAGTGGGAATACTGTCATCTCTGTGGAGGATTTCTTCAGGGCCATCAAGGGGAGCGCCTGTTAGATAGGGGAGCCTACTATAGACAATACCAGCAAGTGAAGTCATGTAAAGAATTTACATTTACTTGTGATTCTTTAGGATGTATTGTAGGGAATGTAGCAAGACCCTCTAAGAGAGTACCATGAAGTGTTGGATGAAAATTCCTAAAAATACTCCTGCATTATCATCAAAATTCTCATTACCTGCCCAGTGTTACTAAAAGGACCAATAAAAGGGTGTGGTTGTTACAAAATACAATCAAAACTAAGACTTAAGGTCTCTGGGGACTCCCCAGTGGTGTAGCAGTTGAGCATTGTGCTGCGAAGCTGCCCGCAGCCTCTGCAGCACCGGTTCAATCCCCAGCCACCAGCAAGGGTCCCACATGGCGCACTGACCTCTCCTGCCATGCTCACTGCTCCCCTCAGCAGTGTACTTCGGTCCTTCTGCCTGTTCTGCTCCCTGCTCTGGCTCTGGTGAATTCTCTCACCCTCCCACGCTTCGGCCTGTACCCAGTGCTTGTATAAATAAATAAATGTTAAAAAAAAAAACAAAAAACTTAAGGTCTCTGTAAATGGAGCCTGCTAGTGATGACATGATACTGTGTTGACAACCAAGTGATTGTTCGAGCTATTACCAAAATACTTGGATAGGAGGAACTGGTTAATATTGATGAAGGATAACCTGTTATTAGAACCACCCTAGTGGACCTGAAGTCTCAGCACTATTGCTGCTAAGGCCAGAATTCAATCCCAGGCCAAGGAGATAACCCATATATGACCTCTCCTGTCTCACCAGCTGATCCCCTTAGCAGTTTGTAACAGTGAAAATCCACCTGTTCTATTTCCCACTCTGTCTCTAGTGAATCCTCTCACCCACTCCACCTCTGGCCTACACTCCATTTCTTCCATGAAACAACAAAAACACTTAGCAAATACACGTAAGGATTTCCACATTAAAAAATCAGCTTTATTGGGCCTTCCTGGTGGTGCAAGACGTTAAGACACAGCCTATGGAACTATACGCAGCCACTGTAGCACAAGTTCAATCCCTGGCCAGTTAGCTACCCACATGGCGCAGCAGACCTCCCCTGACTCTCCGCTGCTCCCCTCAGCAGTGTATTTCAGTTGATTTGTCTGTTCTGCCCCCACTGTCTCTGAACTCTCTCACCCCCAAAAAAAACCTCTGACCTATACCCCAGTTCTTGTATGCATAAATAAGTAAGTCTTTTGAAAAAATCAGCTTTATTAACACATATTAAATTGACATATACCCTAAATATACAGACACCACTGTATGCTACTTGGTCAAAATCAAGATGCAGGCATGTAACAAACATTCTTGTTCTTCTGATACAAGGATCTCAGAGTTGGTGGTAAACAGAGAGAATCATTACTTAGCTAATGTGCATGCACAGAATTCTATTCCCTGTTATGCAAAAGTCATCTGTTCTTTCATCATGTGCCTGTGAAGAACTTTTTTGGCAACATCATCAAATAATATTCATGACGTCTATTACTACTGTGAAGAAAACATCATGATTTTAATCAACTGTCAGTGTATTCCCTTAAGGAGAAAATAATTTCAACTTCAGCATGTTCCTCTGACTTTTATGCCAACAATGAAGCCCATAACTCTTCTTGGTGATTCAGATCAATCTTGAGTCAACCAGAAGCAGCACATCTGTTTAGATTTTCTGGAGACAGGGCACATTATTGTCCTAAATTACACTGCAAGTTAGCATGAACAAATCCATCTAGGAGGGTTTTGCAGATGTCTGAGGCAGCAATAAAGCAAATACATGACTTCACATACACAAGGGGAGAAAGCCAAGGAATGGAGTGAATTAGAGCTGAATTACGTTCATCCCCACTTCAAAGTATCTCAAGTGTATCTGAAAAAAAGTAGATGGAAAACAACTGTCTCTGTCCCCGATCCATCATCTTTACCACTTAAATTATACTAATACATACTTAGTGTTTTAATGTTAGTTTATGCTCCAAAAAATATTCTAACTTAAACTAGTATCTGAGAAAATACTTACTACTGTACTGCAATTTTTACATAGGTATTCAGATGTTTTTATTAATTACTTTCTCATTTTTTTTACTTCTTCAGAGTGTCATTCCAATATGAAAATATGGTGGTTTCAAAATGTCTATTAGTACAAGCCACTCATCACTTAACATTTGTAGGTTTCTCCCCAGTATACATTCTCTGAATTTTAGAGAGATTAAACTTCTGGTTAAAGACATGGCCACATTCTTCACTACAATATGAATTCTCTGATCTTGAGTAAGTTTTGACTTCTTCTCATTTGTCAGGTTTCTTGCCAGTATGAATTCTGTGATGGCGACAAAGATTTGAATGACAGGCTTTGCTAAACAGTTCACCTTTGTAAGGTTTCTGCCCAGTATGAATTCTATGATGTCGAGTAAGTTTTGACTTCTGGCCAAAGGCTTTGCCACATTCTTCACTTTTATAAGGTTTCTATCCAGTATGAATTCTATGATGTCGACTAAGATGCGACTGCCGGTAAAAGGTTTTCCCACATACTTCACATTTGTAAGGTTTCTCCCCAGTATGAACTCTATAATGTAGATTAAGATGCGACTGCCAGTTAAAGGTTTTCCCACATTCTTCACATTTGTAAGGTTTCACCCCAGTATGAATTCTATGATGTTGAATAAGGCTTGACTTGTTCTTAAAGGCTTTGCCACATTCTTCACATCTGTAAGGTCTCTCCCCAGTATGAAATCTATGATGTTGAACAAGGCTTGACTTGTTGTTAAAGGCTTTGCCACATTCTTCACATTTGTAAGGTCTCTCCCCAGTATGAATTCTATGATGTTGACTAAGAATCGAGTGCCAATTAAAGGCTTTCCCACATTCTCCACATTTGTACGGTTTCTCCCCAGTATGAATTCTATGATGTTGAGTAAGTTTTGACTTCTGGTCAAAAGCTTTGCCACATTCTTCACATTTAAAAGGTTTCTCCCCAGTATGAAATCTATGATGATGAATAAGGCTTGTCTTATGGTTAAAGGCTTTGCCACACAGTTCACATTTGTAAGGTTTCTGCCCAGTATGTATTCTATGATGTCGAATAAGGCTTGGCATCTTGTTAAAGGCTTTGCCACATACTTCACATTTGTAAGGTTTCTCCCCAGTATGAAATTTATGATGTTGAACAAGGCTTGACTTGTTGTTAAAGGCTTTGCCACATTCTTCACATTTGTAAGGTTTCTGCCCAGTATGAATTCTATGATGTTGACTAAGATTCGAGTGCCAATTAAAGGTTTTTCCACATTCTTCACATTTGTATGGTTTCTCCCCAGTATGAATTCTATGATGTTGAGTAAGTTTTGACTTCTGGTCAAAAGCTTTGCCACATTCTTCACATTTATAAGGTTTCTCTCCAGTATGAAATCTGTAATGTTGCATAAGGCTTGACTTATGGTTAAAGGCTTTGCCACACACTTCACATTTGTAAGGTTTCTGCCCAGTATGAATTCTCTGATGGTTAATAAGGCTTGGCATCGTGTTAAAGGCTTTGCCACATACCCCACATATGTAAGGTTTCTCCCCAGTATGAAATCTATGATGTTGACTAAGGCTTGATTTGTTGTTAAAGGCTTTGCCACATTCTTCACATTTGTAAGGTTTCTGCCCGGTATGAATTCTCTCATGTTGAATAAGGCTTGACTTCCTGCTAAAGGCTTTGCCACATTCCCCACATTTGTAAGGTTTCTCCTGAGTGTGAATTCTACGATGTAGACCAAGATACCATTGCCGGTTAAAGGTTTTCCCACATTCTTCACATTTAAAAGGTTTCTCCCCAGTATGAATTCTATGATGTAGACCAAGATGCCATTGCCGGCTAAAGGTTTTACCACATACTTCACATTTGAATGGTTTCTCCCCAGTATGAATTCTATGATGTTCACTAAGATGCCACTGCCGGCTAAAGGATTTCCCACATTCTTGACATTTGTAAGGTTTCTCCCCAGTATGAATTTTCTGATGTCGAATAAGGCTTGACTTGTTGTTAAAGGCTTTGCCACATACTTCACATTTGTAAGGTTTCTCCCCAGTATGAAATCTATGATGTTGAATAACACTTGACATCTTCTTAAAGGCTTTGCCACACACTTCACATTTGTAAGCTTTCTCCCCAGTATGAATGCTATGATGCTGACTGAGATTAAAATGCTGGTTAAAGGCTTCCCCACATTCTTCACATCCATCAGATTTCCCACCATTATCAGCTCTCTGATGTTCAAAAAGGTGACAAAAGTATAGAAAAGCTTTACCACAGTCTGTACACATGTAAGCCTCTTCTCCAGTATGAATCATTAGCTGTTTAGTGAGCTGTGAATGCCAATAAAATGCTTTACCACACGCTTCACATTTCTGGAGTGTCTCTCTCTGATGTTGAGCGAGTCTTGAGCACCATTTGTTAGCTTCGCCATATCCATTACAGTTGTAGGGTTTCTCATGAATTGTGTGATGTTGGATAAGTTTTGAGGACTCCTCAATATGATCCCATGTAGGTTTTTGATTTTCCCACTTACAGCTCTGATGTTGAGAACTATGTGACTCAAGGTAAAAATCTGTCCCATACTCATAATTCTTTGAGTGACTTTTTGCATTATGGATTAGGAGAGTTCCCATATGTTTCAATTTTCCAAAATTGATAGAAATTTCATATGAATCTCTGCTTACAGAAATATACATATCTCTGCATGCAGCAGAAATAAAATGGGGTTTGACACAAAAAGTTCCACACACTTGATATCTTCTCGCAGGAAGAACTGTATTGTGGGTAATTATCTCCGCTTGACTATCATCACTGCAACAACTGTTCTGCCATTCAATTTCCGCTTGACATGTCTCAGTTTTCATTAATTGTAAGTTCTCAAAGGCATAGATTTCATGCCCTCCCAGTCCCACTTTCGGAAACAAATCTTCTGTACCTAACGGAGGCATGAAGACCTGGATGTCATGAGAAGAGATGGCTGGAAGACAGCAAGGGGCTAATTACCACATTTACAGCACTCAAGACAAAATACTTTAAATGTCTCTTAGATAAAATTAATACCAAATAAAGTACATTGACACAATGTTAGAATAGGTAACACCATGGGGCTTACCTGTTGATGCTAGGGTTAAAGTCTCCGATATCAAGCTATTACCAGCCACTGGGACATCAGTTCCATCCCTGGCCAGTGAACTGACCCACAAGGTGAAGCCACCCACAAGGTGAAGCCACCTCTGCTGCTTCCCCTACCGCACCCCTCAGGAGTGTATTTCAGTCACTCTGCCTGTTTTGGTCTCCATTCTGCCTTTGGTGAATCCTCTCACCCTAATACCTCTGGCCTACAACCCAGTTCTTCTGCACAAAAATAAAGTCATTAAAAAAGTAAATAAACAAAATGAAATTAATACAGATCTGCACCAAGTACTGAAAGAGTAATTAAAAAAAAAAAAAACACCTAAAACCAATGTCCTGGCTTGATGAATTCCTACTTAACGAAAAAATTTAATGAAAAATTTAATCAGTTCTGAAAATTTCAAAAGTGAAAAGGGAAAAAATTTTTCAACGCTTTCTATGAGGACAGCATTGAAAGGCTATCAAAGCCCAATCACGGGTCTCACCTGGTGGTGCAGGTGGTTGAGCACAGCACTGTGAAGCTGTATCCAGTCTCTACAGTGCGGGTTCAATCCAGGCTGGCCAGTGAGAATCCCAAATGGTGCGGCAGGACTCTCCCGTCACACCTGCTGCTCCCCTCATCATTGTATTTCATCAGTCTGCCTGTTCTGTTCCCTGCTCTGTCTCTGGTAAATCCTCTCACCCTCCAGCACATCTGGCCTGTACCCCAGGTCTTGTATGCATGAATAAATAAATCTTTTTTAAAAAAAAAGCCCAATCAAGATAAGACTACTGAAGAGCAGTTCAACTGCACCATCATGAAAGCTGTCAACATTATTAAAAGTAATCTAAAGGAGCAATATAATCCCCATCAAAATTCCAGAGGCAGCACTCCCTCTGCCCACCTGTGACTATGCAGGTGCCTCTTCACCAACTGTCTCTTCTGCAGGGCAGTGGCCTCCTGCCCGCCCATGACTTGTCAAGGCTGCCCGCCTGCAACCATGCAGGCCTCTCTCAGCAAACCTGTCCCTTTGAGGGCAGCTCTTCCTGCTCACTTTGTGTCTATACCAGTTTTCTTTATTCCTCTGTCCCTTTCCCTAACAAACCTGCTCTTAAAAAAATATTTAAAAAATTCCAGTGACATTTTTGAATGAAGAGAAAACCCCATGCAAAAATTCATGTGGGAAGGAATAAAAATTGTATTTGTGGGGAATGCCTGTGAAATGTAGACTCACAGGAGTAAGGGTTGATGCATTACAATTTCCACTTGCAAAATCCACTGTGCCCACGTCATCCCACATTTTGGATATAAACAAGAACCTAAGTAGTACTTTCTTCCAGATTTAATGTGATGCATCATGCACACCTCCCAGGAAATCAATTCCAAGCCCTGGTCAGGAGGGCATGGACGCCCAGAGATCAGAGTAAAATCAATGGCAAGAAGATGAAGATGAGATTACAGAAGACAAGATTATGAAACAGGGAGGCCAAAAGAGCATGCTAGAGAGAAGGCAGAGGGTAGGGAGACTGGGAAGCTAGGTTGCTGCCAACCTTCTGGCTGCCACCTGCCTACCTGCATGCCAGCTTCCCTGCCTGTTGTGCCTGTGTACCGGGACCCTGCTTCAGCATTAAAGTCCTGTCAGATCTATCGAGGGCTCCAAGATTCCTCTTCCCATCTGCCTGAATCAACAGTGAAACTCTTGGTCTGGGATGTCTGCACAGGATACACAACCAGAACTTCATATACAGGACCACAACAGATCAGGGATGCCCAGGGCAAAGAGGCTGGAGTATCCCATGGGGATTTCTGGGATACCCCCACTGGATCTCACAAAAATCCCTATCAATCCTCCTGATAAGGACTGAGTACACAGAGCAGAGTCAGCATCTAGACAGGGACAGTGGGGATCTGACATGGCAGGAAATGCTAGGAGAGGCAGTCCCGCCAACCAGACTGGATGAAATCCCCTGAACCCTAAGTGCTGTGTTTGGGCTGGAATAGACAGCATCAGTGTCAAACTGCTAATAAGAGACTCAGCCCTGAGGATAAAAGAAGGCATCCAGATCTGACACATCCTGGCACCTCTGCAGAAGGGCAGGCCTGCTCAGGCCCCCAACTCCGAACCACCAGGGCAGGTGAATAAACCTTGCTGGCCCTAAATGAGCAGGATGACCACCCTCATGAGGGCTTGGCCTGAAGACAGAATGCCTAACAAAGGACAGCGTCTGATGAGAGGACAGATCACTGTCCGTGGGTTCTCACCTGTGCACACAATTGCAAGAGACCTCAGGCTCCAGGAACCACCACCATGGGGTTGATTTTACAAACAGAGGAAACACAGAGCTCACTATATCCACAGGTGGTGGCTGCTCACCCAGGTACCATCAGTGATGGCCACCACCGGTCACCAGGAGGCCTGGACAGCACTGGCCAGTAATGATGGCCACTACTGGTCCACAGAGGCGGTGTCAGAGACACCCCAGTGTTCACAGCGCTTTGTGAGCGAGCTGTTGGGTTACACCAGCAACAAGCAGCTCTTTGAGACACCAGGCCCAGGGCCTCTGGGCTCCTCACAGGCCAGGTCAGAGACAGGCCCCAGGCCCCGTGTGTGACCGAGTCCTTGGCCGCTCTTCCCTCCTCGGAGGGCGGCTGCTGGATGCTGCTTTTCCTCTTTCTTCTGAGGCCAGGAACGGAGTCTTCCCCTTCTTCCTTCTTCCTTCCGGGGCTGGCATCGTCTCTCTTCTTCAGGGATAAAGTCATCTCTGCTTCCCTCGGGGGCTCTCTCAGCTCCCTCTGACCCTGGCTTACATCCTCTCTCAGGGTGCGCCCCCACAAGTCTGACTGGGACCTTTAGCACTAATCAGCTCAGGGCTCGCACCTGATTGGCCCATTGCAAGCGGCAGTTACTGGGCTCTGAGGAGCAACTGCCACCACTGACCTGGGCAGGAGCCGCGGGGTGTGAGGACACCCACGCTCCTGCCGGCTCCCACAGATGAGGCAGCTGGTTCCGGTCATATTCTGAGGAGATTGTGAAGTTAGCCTACCAGATTTGGTAGGATAAAAGAAGGACAGCAAACCTGTCACTTTGAGGGCAGGTTTGAGCTACAGAACTCTGGCACCATTAAATAGATCGACCAAGCCTCCCTGGTGGCGCTGGTGGTTGAGCACCGCACTGTGAAGCTGTTCGCAGCCTCTGCAGTGCAGGTTCGATCCTGCCTGGCTGGCAAGAATCCCACATGGTGCAGCAGACCTCTCCTGTCTCGCCCGCTGCTCTCCTCAGCAGTGTATTTTCGTCAGTCTGCCTGTTCTGTTCCCCACTGTCTCTAGTGAATCCTCTCACCCTCCCACGAATCTGGCCTGTACCCCAACCTCTTGCATAAATGAAAAATAAATCTTTAAAAAAATTTTTTAAATTAAAAAATATATAGATCAACCCTGGGGACTGCCCTGCTGTGGGCTGTCATGCTGATGCCACCACCCTCACCACAGCATAGAGGACACCAAGCTGGTCAGTGGAGGCTCAGCAGATAAAAGACTTACAAAGGAGAATGATTCAATAAAGGACCCTTTGACAAACACAAGACTATAAATGGATTAATAAGTAAACTTCCCAACACAAGAAATTGAAGGAACCAAACTCGACACAATAAAGGTCCTCTATGAAATATCCACAGCAGACATACTCAACTGTGAAAAACAAACTTTATTCTTTCAGATGAAAAACTGGGCAAGGATTAACACCAGCCATTTCTATTTCACACAGTAGAAGTTAATCTAAGTAAAACCATCCCATGCTAAAACAAACCAATTGCATCCACAGTTATATAGACAGGAAAAAAAGCTGTGTTGGAGGTGGCAAAATGTCATGTGTAGGGAGAATCTCACACACACATGCACACGCACACACTGTAAAAGATTGTATTTTACCATTAGAGACAAAGTAGAGCCTGTCCTTTCTAAACAAAGAAAAACAGAAAAGGCATCTGATAAGAACCAATGCCATATAAAGTGTTTGAGATTCAATGATATCATAATTATGACACAACTTAAGAAAAATGAAGAAAAATTTTTGTCTGTAATAAACATGACTCACAAAAAAATAGCACCTATCATTTTTATACATATGGAGTGTTTACTAATTACCAAACTCGCTTTTGCTCTAACTGCTGTGAACCTAACTGTATAAGAAAAAGCACAGACAAATCTGACACAGACCAAATCAGAATGAGAAACTGCGCCGGCCACACAGTGATTGCCTACCATTTTATATACTAGAATTTTTCCATTTTATTTATAATATGAACTGAGCTGCATTTTAGAATCTTATACACTAGAACATATATTATGTATATGGTTCTAGTTCTCTTTTTATAAACTAGAGAAGTCACAAAGAACAATATATCTGACGAGACTGGAATGAAATGGAGACTGACAGGCAGAGGCCTGGCTGATTCAGAACCTCCTCTTGTAAAAGCCAACACGTCCAGGGAGAGATTTCACAAAGATTTCACAGATTTTCCCAGAGAAGACTTCACACAGTGACAAACTCAGGGGAAAGGAAAATTCTGGATGAAACATAAATTGTGCCCATCACTCAGTTACCCCAAAGTCATCATTTTGGCAGTAGGACCCAAGAGGTTACAGTGGAGGAATAAGGCAGAGAGACAGAAGTCAAGTCCACCCAGATGACAAACAGCAGCTACCACAGAACAGATGACATCAGGGCTGACGCGCAGAGGAGCCGGTCACTGTGCTGACAGTGAACCTGTCACTGTAAATCAGGTATGAAGCTCATCTGAGACAAGAATACTTTTATGCAAATGTCAGGCCACATATATTTTTCACCCTGTAATCTTCAGAGATGG